CACACTGGGCAGGTAGGACACACAACACTACACAACATGTACTACACACTGGGCAGGTAGGACACACAACACTACACAACATGTACTACACACAGGTAGGACTAAACACTACACACAGGCTGTTTGGGGACCAGGCCACCAGGGGCGCTGCAGCAGATTCTGCTGAGTGGAATTCTACATTATGAGAAGTTTCAGTATTTCATGAGTTGTATTAAATTCTGGTTCAAGGTTGATTCTTACATGTGGAGGATCCAGCCTGTAAACACCGAGTCCGTCACACGACAACAGAAAAGTACAGAAGCCTGGTTTCTTCAAACTAGAACATGACTCAGCACTTCAGACGTCTCAGCCAAGCTGCAGTTAAACTCTGAGAGTTTTTAAAAGACTTAATGTTGTGAAGCTTCTGAATCTTCCATGTTTTCTTTCCAGTGTTTGAGAAGAAGACGACAGAATGAGACGAATCCTCTCTACACGTTCATCTGTGGTTCAAATGATTCTGCTTCTTGTATAAAGTGTAAATACCAAAACTTCAAGCAGAGAAAATAAAGTGAAGTTGATTAAAATGAAACCAGAGTCACAGTTTATTATTATCCCATAAAAACACACAGGTTATATACAGCAGAGCATGCGACAGAACTCAGGACACTGAACACGGTCTGGATTATGGCGAGTAGTCGTGGCGATACTGAGGCTTGCTGTGGAAACCAAGGCGCTCGCCGCAGATCAGACTCTGAATGAGCCACTCCGTGGACACCAGTGGGACTTCCTGTGACGTCACACTTTTCTCCACCAATGGGGGACAGGCGTGGTCTGTCACCACAGCGTCGTACTTTCCAGCGGGAACGTCTGCAGACAGGAACAGACTCCGTTCACGACCATGTTTTCACAGTGCACGTTATTTAAAGGTCCTGATGTCGGTACCTGAACAGTCTTTGTCCACCTGGAGCTGTCGGACCGACGAAGCTCCGCCCATGGTGATCAGCTGAGCCCAAAGCTCCACCGGCTTCTCAAACACCAGAAGGACCCGCAGGGATTTGAAGGGACTGCAGCGAGGATGCCTGAGCGGAGAGAAGGAAAATAGGATTTTAAACTTTCGACAGATTCATCTCAAAGAAAAATCAATCATCAATAGAACTGTTTAACGATGTCACCTTGAATTCTGTACAGTCATGTTACTTATAACAAGTTTTGTTCTGGCTTCATCAATCTATTGTTTAAATTTGTTTTAGATTCCTATTAACTATGAAACAAAGGTGATTATGATGAATTCATTTCTCATGAGGATCTTTTGAAGAAGCTGCATTGACTCTTGTCATGTGGTTTTTGTAGGATCCATATTTACATCGACTGCTGCCGCCAGGATTTTTTAAAGCTTCAGGTTGTTTTCTTGTTTTCTGATTTAAAAAGAAACACAAACCACATCAGGTAACAGTTCAGTAAATAAACTGAACACACATGACTGACGGGCGCACACGCTACAGGACCTTTTACCTGCAGAGACTCGATCAATCTGATGTTCCTGCTCAGAACCACACGTCCGGCTGCAGGAGGTGAAATGTTCAGTTCAGATTTTCTGTCCTAACTTGACCCGAGTGAAAACTAACACAGACATTCAGGCTTTTGTCTGAAGACGACTCGAGTGCGATGCAGTTAATCCTGAGTTTGTGTTTCTGTCCCTCACACAGTGTTTGTTTGAGTTCCCTGATTACAGACGTGTGCAAAACTGTCTCATCACTATTTGAACCTTCCACTGCTCCTGCGCTCTGATTGGCTGCAGCTGTTACTGACTCGATATCCAGCAGGTTGGAAACTGATCAGAGTCTGTGACTCGTTGGCGACTCGTTGGCGACTCGTTGGCGAACTGTCGGCGAACCTCGCCACTATCTGTGAAGAATTCACAAACAGCTGGTGGCACCTGATCGGTGAAGATCAGAAGCTTTTGTCAGCGACTTCAAAACTCGTGTTGGAAAACTCTGGAGCAAAGACTGAAACATTTAC